AAGTCGCGGATTCTTAAAACATATTCCAAAGACAAGTAAGTCGTATATTAGATAATGGAATTAAAAAAAAAACATTATCATGGTTTCCAAAGGAATTTGATATATTTTGAGTCACCATTGTGTGACAAACCTCCCTACCAATTATGACAACCAAATTTCTAGTATTTTGAAGAGACTAAAAGCATTTTTTCCAACCGAAAAGGCTATAATTTGAATAATTTGAATCCTGATGTTTGGTTCGCAATCAGAAATACCGACCAAAATGAAGTTTTTTATCCATTGTCGTATTTTTATTATATTTCCTGACGATTGTTTATTGCTTGATTACATGTTGTAATGGACTGACACATATATCTGGATGGATTCAAATTGTCGAAATATAATCACAAATACACAAAAAGATGGGTCTAGGAACAAAATGTTCTGTGACATCGCAAACTTCGGGCACCCCACAAACTCATAATACCCTCACAACATAGTTAAGTCGGGTATAATGAAGGTATTATACAGATCAAGGGCCTTAGAGTCTAATATTACATTCATGATGATTCATAAAGCCTAATTTTTTTAAATTTAAAGCTCCCTATTAAAAATTCATAATGCGCTTAACAGAACTTCAGCCAATATGTCCTCAAATAAAATTAATGAATAATTCAAACTCGAATTGTAAAGAATAGCTTAAGACACAAAAAACCCTAATACAACGTCCTCCAATTATTCGTAGAAAAGAGTACTAGAGCTAGATGTAAAACAGTCACAACAACAAGACGTATTTGTCACTGTGAGTGAGCAAAAACAAATTTTTGGCCAAAACATATTGACGTCACAGTACTCACAAAACATTGACACAGGCCACTAAGAGTTAAGCATACTAACTGAGACTGAGATAGGTTTTGGCCAAACATTTCTTGCATTGAGATTTTATGTTTTGGGAGATTTTCTCAAAAGCCTAAATGAATCAAAGCAAAAATACGCTGTGGCTGACTGAGCTGATCTTTCGTATAAGCGTTGTAGATTACACAGCTCTCGACTGTTTATGCTATTTGCTTTTTTTAAGTATAAAAAGAAGCGGTTGTGGCCAATAGAGCACAGTCAACGTTAAGACAACAAACGAAGTGGATCACCGAAAACAGTAACGGTAGCCACTCTAGCGAACATAAGGATATTTATTTAAATTTTAAACCGTTCCCCACCCGATATTTATTACATAAGGATTACAAACAACAATAAACAAAAACATAAAGTGAGTTTAAAGAAAACGCAGCAATAACAACAAGAAAAGACATTAACAAAAAAAATAAAAAAAAAACTTCGAAAAAAAAAACAAGTAAACCAAATAGGTTTGGTTATGAAATAACGCAACAAGACCTTGGATTGAAATTGACATAAAAAATTGTGGTATATATGAAAGATGTGGAACCACCATCAGCAATGAAAGTGAATGCGTTAAGAAAAAAAGTAGTGAAATAAAAGCAACAACATCATTTACAAATCATGAAAAAAATTGCAGTGTGCGAAATAAAAAAGACAAAACGAACAAAATATTCATTTCATGGTGAATTGAAAGTTGTGTATGGAATTATTATTTCAAATATTTACTTCCACACAACTTACTTTTTGGTGTAAATTAAAAACAAAAACGAAAATGTGTAATTTCATTTCCGAAGTTATTACATTGTTTTAATGATTAGTAATGGAAAAAGTGGTAATCATTTCATACGTTTTTCAATATTTCAACTTTTTTTAATTATTGTGAAAATTAGTTAGAGTTTGGTGTAGTCTTTGAAAGGTTTTTTGGAAATTATTAAGATTAAAATTAAAAAAAAAAAAAACTCAAACCCAGATTTCAAAATTTAGAGCAGTACCTCAGAATGAAAAGATAAACTGATAATTTGAAAATCTATTCCGACCATCCATAATATTTAAATATCCAAGCTACCAGAAACATCAGAGAATTTTGTCATTTACAAAGACTGCTTGAGATTGGGATGACTTTTAATTATAAAAATTTCAAAAAATAATTGATTTTCTATAATTAATAAAATTAACTTCAAAATTTGCTATAGGGAATTTTTTCGCTAACTATAGACTTAATTTCTCAAAAAAATGTTCTCTTCTAACCGCCAAAAATATTTTTCAAACTGCTTTTAAGGCCAGTACAGGACCAATTCTGTCTATACAAATAAAGAAAGGCCTATTAGGCTGATATCAATCTGCAGATCCTTTAAAATACCTACTAAAATTATATTTCTAAAAGTTTGTCTATAAAATAGGAGATTTTCTACAAAAAGTGACTCCGGGCATAATTGGTCTATTCCCTTAATTTTCAAATTTATTCAATTGAAATTTAACAAAAACTAGGTCAACTAATATTTGAGCCAAAAAAATGGTTTAACTCGAATCTGCGTAATGTTATGATGAAATTACTAAATACATATATCACATTGCAATTTACGTCTAAGACTAAGACAAAAATCGAAGAGTCTAAAAATCGACTTTTTGGTCTGAGGTAAAAATTGAAAAGTCTAAAAGTCGTCTTATGTGCTCGCCTAAGTATCCCTATCCCATAGTCGTATTGTGATCAGGGTTTTAAGGACTTATTAAAAATTTACTGGGGATAACTTCACAAAAGCCACAAATAGGTCATTCTATAAACAAATTCAAATACACCAGAAGCTAAAATTGTCATTCCTTATTAGAACTCCTTTCGCAATCTTCTGCCTGAAGTAGGCTATGAAAGTCCTGAAAACAAAGAACCTGTAATAATTTCTAAAATAGTTTTTGAAACTTCCAGTACTAAAGAGATACGTTTTCTACAGGCACTTGAATAATGGCATAAGTAACCATTGGCCTTTCTCACAAAATTTTATCCCTGAAGATAGTTGACCATGTCAACCGAAATATGGGAAATTAATTAAGAGAGAGATTTAAACCAAAATCAAACATATTTTACTGACCTAACCGAAATCAATCTGAAAATGTTGTATTTTAATTCAAAATTATTATTTGATTCCTATAAATTATCATTTTCTTGAATCTGTGAAATCAGATTTATAGGACCCTACCATTCGATAATAAATTCGCAGAATACCAAATTTGACACCTAATCTGTATATCCATCCCTATCTTTATACATTATAGGAGAACTTACACCTTCTGGAGAATCAGATTATTAAAACCCTACCTCTCTATAATAGGTTGACAAATACCTAATCTATATAAATTAAGGTAAATTTTACAGCTTCTTAAGTTGTTTGAGTAGTCAAATCGCTGAGATAACTTTAAATGCAAATATTTCAACATTTTCATTCATTTTCAAACGCCTTCAACTGCATGCAAATAACTTTAAATGCAAATACGTCAAGATTTGATTTTGAAGATCCTTCAACTGCATGTCAATAACTTTAAATGCAAATATGTCAAAAAATGATGTCCATTAAAATAAAATGTGCCAAATATTCTGAAAAGAAAGAAAATTATTATGAGATTAGAAAAAAGAAAAGAAAATTATAAAATATTCAAATTCTCAAATAAAAACATTTTCAATTATAATTCTTTGTCCACAAAACGACCAACAAAAAGACACATTTCCTTTTTTCGAAAATCCAAGCATTTTCAGTCATTAACCTCTAAATAATTATATTGACCGACCGACCATCATTATTCTAAGCAGCATTTCCGGTAAATTCATAAATTTTCCCTTTCGTTTCTTTGTATTTAAAAATAAATAGCAAAAAACTGGGTAAACAAATGCAAATGAAGAGAGAAAGAAAAGCAAACGCATCAAGTTTTCCATTTTTCCCAAAATTAAAATTACTGTTGCCCAGCAAGAAAAATTTACATAAAATGCAACACTGCAAGGGAACAATGGCAGGCAGGCAGACTACAAATAACGTCATGCAACGTAAAATAATAAAAAATTACTAAATAAGCCATGGATGGTTAAGTTAAGATAGACATCCGGTTTCAGTGTTGAGAGAGTGTTACTTACATGGCACATAAAAATTCGGTTCCGATAATAAAAAAAAGTAAAGTTTACCATGATTATTATCGTAAGCCGCCAACGCTTTGAGTTTTTGCATAACATTTTGTGCTCCAGAAACAGCCAACCCCCGCGCATTTCAAGCGTATTAAAGCATTTCATTTCATCGGGAGATAAAATAAACTTCGTTCGTGTTATGTCATGCATAATACAAATCCGGGGCAGGGAAATTTTACAACTTCCTCTTTCCCACAAAGAAATCTTGACTTTTTGAAATAAAATAATGAGCAAAGTTTAATTCCTACATTTTCTTAATTGAATTGCAAAATATTGCCAAATAATTTTTTTAATTCGGAAACCAATTTAATCTTCCCAGAGTACGAACAACAAATGTAGTTAAAATAAATTACTTAATAAAACACGCTTGAACTAAATTTTATAGTTGCGACGAGATGCTTCATTATTATCTCAGAAAAAAAATCAAATATTGCTTAACCCGCCATTGGAAACTCATGGCTGCCAGCTATGGTATTGGATTGTCTGTATCAAGCAGAGAGTGAGTTTGAGCGTCTCCACATCATTATCTACCGGCTTCAAGCTAATGACCTTAAAACGAAAGTAAAAGTAACAATGAAACAACAACAACCCAAAATTAGCTTCGCTGTGGCGTCTGCGTAGTTCGTTCGTTGGTTGAGTCAGTCTCCAGAAAAGCGGCAAACTGGTTTTGCCATACCGCTGACAGCCCCCTACACATAATAACCGTACGCTTATGGTTTGTTTTGAAAACGCTGCTAGAAAATACTGCAAAGCTTTACACACACCAAAAAAAGTAGCACAATGACCACTAAAGTATCAGGGATCGAGGCCAAATTTGTTTTGTTTGTTTTTTATAACAAAAACTATTACTTAATATTCATAACCATTCATTCATTTATCACCATTCCTAATTTGTAATTTTGAAGGTTAAAAATTTATTAATATTGTTTTTTCTCTCTCTTTCTCTTGTTTTCTTTTAGTCATGAGAGTAACACAGCATTGGGCTTTCTTGGCCGCCGTACTATTGGCCTTTACCATATGCAGTAGTCGTGCCGACGAAGAACCCTCTTGGGGTTCCAGTAGTTGGTCGTCGTCTGTCAAGGAATCAATGTTGGCTCGTAGATCTGCCGAAGCTGAGGCGAAGCAGGAGGATATTCAAGGTCGTAATTATGCCGTCCATGAACAAATCTACAGCAACGAAACCGAAGTCAATGAATTGATTGAACAGCTGATTACCTCTCGTCGTGAGGGTAGAATTTTAAATGATTACGATCAAGTCTATGCTGATGGCAATGTGGATCAGGCTTTGATGCAGGGTGATGATATGCAAGCCCGTAACATTGTCCGTGACAAGTTGTGTTCATTGGGTTTGATGAGCTGTGAGGCAGAAGGCAAGCGTCCTTACTATTCCAACATTTATGCCCAGGGACCTCCACCACCACCAGGCCATAAGTTCGGCGGTGGACCATATGGCCCAGCTAAACCCATGCCACCACCTGGTTTCTACAATGGACGTCCACCCATGGGTCCCCCACCATCCTCTGTCAATTCCTTTGGTCCACCACGCAAAGTTGGCTATGAATCATCGTATAAACCTGGCTACAGACCCTCCGGCCCAGGTGGCAACTACAATGGTCCCTATTTGGAATCACCTCCACCATCCGCCATTGATGGCTCAGGCTTGACTACCTTCAACAAACCCCCACCCGGTGCAATTATTTATGGCAGCAAACCTCCAGGTCCAGTTTACAATGGCAATGGTGCCGGTCCTAATGGTAATGTACCTCCCTATGCCTTTGAGAATCCCGATAAGATCCATGCTGCCGGTTCCCAACAAACCAATTTCTATAGTCATCAATCATCGGCCTCGGCTTCCCAATCATCGAGCACAAAGGTTGTTGTTGGGGGTACCGTAGCCAATGCCGTATCCACTGCCGCCAGTGCTGGTCTACAACAACATGTCCATCATCATTTCCATCATGTTGATGGTGGTGATTCCGCAAAAGTACCCACTGTTCCTGTACCATTGGGCAATGGCCAAACAATAAATACCGACTTCTCTGCCTTGGCTCAATCTTCGACAGCCTTCAATCCTCAGACATCCGGAGCATCAAGCTCCTTTGGTCAAAGTCAAAATTCGTATAATGCCGGATTCAATGCTGCTTCCCAGGGTGGTCTATTGTCTCAGACTTCCAATGGTTTTAAACCTAATGGTTTGGGTTCCTCAAATGGTTTTGGTGCCGGTTCAAATGGCTTTGGTTCTTCTGGTGCCTCCAATGGCTTTGGCTCAACTGGTTTCGGTTCAGCTGGTAGCAGTTCTGGTTTCAATTCCGGTTCCAACTTTGGTTCAGCTAGTACAGGTTTTGGTGCCGGTGGTAGTAATACTGGTTTCGGTTCCAGTTCCAGCTCCAGTTATCACAGTCAAAATCCCAATTACTACAAGAAGGAGTTGCACAATCTGGGTGGCATTCAATCCTCCTCTTCGAACAATTTCAATAGCTTGACCTCAGGTTATGACCAATCGTCCTACAACAATGCTGCTGGTGGTTATGATACCTCCCGCAACCAATATGTCGACTGCCAATGTGTACCCTTCAATCAATGTCCCGCTGCCGATCGTATTGGCCGTAAGGAAGATTTGATTTTGGCCATTGATCCTCGTAATTTGGGTAAGGAAATTGAGGCATTGAGCGATGAAGCTGCCGCCAATATTACCACCAATGCCATGCCCGAGAAAAAGGAACAAGAAGATGACAAAAAGCAGGATGAAGGTGAAAAGAAACGTAGCAAACGTGAAGCTGATCAGGCCAAGGATAAAGAAGATGAAGCTGCCGATTTGCCTTTGGATGCTGAAGGGGTAAGTTTTTGTTAATAGATTTCCTATTTTTATTTTTGTGTAACCGTCTTAACCTGTCTGGCCCGAATTAAAACCCCTCTAATTCCTAATCATTATTTCAAAGCAAAGAGTTTCTAATTTTTTTCTTGCACACTACGCTGCCCGATCGTAAACATATGCAAAAAGGAGGTGACAAAGATTGACTGGCTGCCTAAGCCCTCACCAGGTTTGATTTGCCGAATCACGAGAGAGCTGCTTCAGTTTATGAGCGGTGGCGTATGTGCTTGGCGTAACTAATACCAACTAAAACAAAAAAAAACAACAAGC